ATATCTCTTTTCTACAAATGTACGTAGAGGCGTGAGAAGAGAAATATAGCTGGAGAGGAAAATATCACTTTTACTCACAGCCATCAGATTACTATTTCTACGTCTTTTTAATAAAAATAAAACGTGAAACGAAGGCAATTATTTTAGAGCAAAAAAGTGTTAAAACAATTTCACATTATTGTTGTTGTTGCTGTAGGATATTTTAAATGCAATCTATATTATTTAAGTGCAAACAGCTTATTTTAATGATCAGTATATTTACATATCAGTGAATATTTCAGGATAAAGCAACATCTTTTGTTCATCCAGATTGTTGCTCTTCAGTTCCAAAATGGTTATGATGAGTAAGCAGAATCTAACTTACACAATCTGTGGCTGTCAGGGTCAAACCGGAACGGAAGCCTGATGTAAAGCTGCAGTAAACATATTGAAATAAAGCAGGTGCATGTTGGTGTGGTAAAGGGTCAGTGTGGCAGCAGCAGACAGCAGCAGCTCCTGCAGCAGGAGTCTGTGGCTGCAGGTTGTGTCGTTAAAGATACACAGCGTCTTCTGGTGGCAGGTCCGGTCTGTTGTAACTGTCTTTATATAGTCTATGGTTGTAACACTGTGATCTGTTTTCATCTCTGTTCACTATTAAACTGGGCTCATTGTTTCAGTCCTAACAGAAATAATGTTCAGCAACAAGCTGTCACTGTGAGTGTGTGTGTCTGTGTGTGTGTCTGTGTCTGTGTATGTGTGTGTGGTTGTGTGTATTGGGGGTAAGATGTGAATTGTGGTTAGTTAAGCTTAGGGATAAGTTAGTTACTGTCCAGAATGAATTGAAGTCAATGCAAAGTCCTGTGGGAACCTGTGTGTGTGTATTCAAGGTAGAAATGTGTTTTGTGTGACAAAGAGCATGACCTAATAATTTCAATAATTACATTTAAGGTAAAGACATGTTTTAAATTTAGTTTTAGGTTAGGGCAGGGTTAGGGTCTATGGTTGAGGTTAGAGTAAAGAAATCAATGTAAGTGTGTGTGTGTGTGTGTGTGTGTGTGTGTGTGTGTGTGTGTGTGTGTGTGTGTGTGTGTGTGTGTGTGTTACATGTTGTCAGCATGATAACCTGATGCGCGCTGCATGTTTCCAGACGCACTGGTCCAATTTAAAGATGCGCGCACACACCACAACAATCCATTTGCTCCAATTGCCTCACAATTATCTCTAATGAAGCCACGTTATCATATAGCCCGAGGTTTTATGTTACAGCTAAAGTGAACCGTCTTGGATCACAGCCGAGGTGCGGGCGTTTCACTCGCAGCCAATTAAAATTACAGCATGTTCCGCGAGGTAAACCTTGCTCATGCCTTCGTTAATTACGGAATTTCGCAAGACATTCTTAATCATCTCAATCAGAACCTTTCCCCTGTTCTGGCACACGGCAATTATGGCCAATTAGTGGTAATTAGTCCAAATGTTCCGGCTAATTCCTCAGAATAATGAGGACACAGTGAAGTGGAGGGTATGGGGCTATCGAGCCTTTTGTTATCGAGGCTGCAGGTTGTTGTTTATGAACTGATTGGTGCATGATATAATCCAGAGAATAAAAATAAGTAGGGCAACGAAGGGAAGTTATTATTCCCTATTAGAAAATAACAGTTTCTCTAGATCAATATAAACATTTCACTGGAATTATTCAGCTGTCTCATTTCGCTCTGACGGTCTGTGACTCTCCTGAGGATTTTCATTAAACTCTCCTGGTTTTGAAGAAGCTGAGAAGAAGGTGGGAAAAAGAAAGAGGAGAACATTGGTCTGATTCACCATCACACACATGAAGTCAGGTGGTGATGATGTCTCTCTGACTTCCCGCAGGACTTGGAGCGAAGTGTCTCTGCAACGCAACCTTTCAGCGAAGCACTGGTGCATGACGTCACTCTACACGTCACTGCCTCCCTGCGCCCAATCAGCAGCTGCAAAGCGACAAACTCGCAAAGATTCTGAGAATAAAACCAAAGCGCGCCCCCTGGTGGATGTGCAGCACGTCACCGTCCGCAGAGAACACTCAGGGTTTGGTCATTCCCAAAGTTATACTGGGTCTTATTCCGCCATCTAGTGGACGCGTGGATCACTACCGGCTTTTAATGAAGGAGTTGTTGGTATTTGCTAAAGATGGAAAAGTTGTCAACATGAAATGGAAAAGCTGTAAAAGTAAATTAGAGAAAATGAAAAATCCAAGAAAAACAACTGATGCATCTGTGTAAAATGTGCAATTCCGTCAGATAATTATTCAAACCTTTATTATACAACAGCTGAAGGTTTTAAGAAAACATGTTTAACAGTTTATAGATAGAGGGACATATAGATAACAATCTATGTTCATCTGTTTCCATATAAAGTGATTTTATTTTGCCTTTTTCATTAAATATAATTTTGAATATGATGAAGGATGAGCCCAGGTGTAACCTCCGCTACACATGGTACAGCTGATGATGTTTATTTTTTCTTTAGTTAAGAATTGTACATGTCTACATTACTGATGATGTTTAAGGCATAAAGAACATCTCTAGAAAGCTGGTGAGCATCTTTATGGTTCTCAATGATCATTTACTGAAGAGGCTCCCAACTGTGCATGAGATATTTCTGCTCTACACGATGAGAGATTTTCCCTCTGATAAATCTTTTAATGCTTTAAACTTAAACATCACCAGAAAAGAAAATCCTAATGTAGATGTTGGACTATATTTCCTTTTAAAGGAGTCACAACCAGGTAGAATAAGAAATACATTATTTAGTTTTTCTAATGACACCACTGTCAGATTCAAATAGATAAATAAATAATAACTTGTTCCGGTGTGGTTCTGTTATATTGAGTGATTTATATTGATCATAGTGAGGAGTTCTCTCAGAATGCTGTCAAACAATCAAACACGTCTTTGAACGTTAACTGCAGCACTGAAGAGCTTCACTTAGACACATATCAGTGAGCAGCACGTCTGATTTACACGATCAGTGTTGGTTTAAAATTATGTTTTGTCTCTTTTCACTTCCCATTTTATTCATCTTCAACAAAACATGTTTCTTTATTGTAAAATACAATCTCAATTACCCCAATGCATACACAAGCCATGAAAAGACAAACCACATATGTCCAAACATGCAAGTGTAACTCAGCCAGAGTCTAACATATTTAATATTAGGTATATTAAATATATAGATAAATGTCTATGTTTTTCTTTTGAAAGATGACAAATATATTTAAATTTAGACATGTTTCCTTTTTCTTTGAATAACATATCAACACATTTACACAGCGATCATAAAGTTATGTTTTCCATGTGGGATAGAGATGTAGAAATGAAGCCGGAGGTAAGGAGAGCAGATGAACAGTTGGATGTTGTTGTCTTGGTTGACCAGACGATCACTCTGTCTGAAAATGGACTAAGACGACCCACAACTGAATCTGTCTGTTTTCAATATGGGGAGACTTTAGTGTTTGAAAGGTTTTTTAAAATTTGAAAAGTATAGAATCAGTGTGTCTAAGTCTGGAGGTAAAAGCAAATACACATTAAATGTTCCTCGCATCATCTTGACAAAACTGCTCCTGTGGCCTTATTTACGTCGACCTTATAACTTTGCTAAAAGAGGCCCTGTGGGGCAGAGCAGTGAGTAAAACTATAGGATGGGCTGGCTAATACAAACCCATCCTTTTCCCCTTTCAGTCAATTCTTCAGACCAACTTAAAAAACCAATGGCAACCTCTAAAAGCCTGTCTTTGTCACCCTTAAACCCCAAGATGCTCTAAAACACCATTGTGCAGTTAAACCTCATAAATTTGTCGCAGAGACTGATTAAACATCACGGGAATTGAAACACTAAAGATTTTGTCTAGGTCCCTTTTGGATGGGGGACAATGGTCCATTCACAGGGAGACACACAGACAAAAAGAGTGTTTAAGGGAAGATGCAGCGAGCTGAGGGGTTCGGCCAGTCCCCTCCATATGTGATACAAGGTGGCCCCAGCGAGGGGGACAAAGGGCCAGGTGACAGGGACGATGGGCTGCAGGGTCACAGGACGAGCAAACAACATTATAGGGGGCGTGAAAGCAGAAGACCCCCCTCGTCACTGATGAAATACTGACATGATTTTAAACACTGAAGCATATTCTTCATTATAAAAGATTCAAACCAGACTGTGGAGGCTTCAATGAGGTGACACAGCCACAAGGAAATGGATCAAGTATATGAAGGAATATCTGCACTGTTGGAGTTTTTCTCCACAGTTTGTGGAGATGTAGTTGAACAGGCCTGGGGGCAGTGTAAATAAAAAACATGTAATATATAAAATAAACAGCGTTTAAGGTCTTTTTCTTTTTCTCGTCTTGCTCTGCCTATCAAATGAATCCTCCTCCTGAACTCCCCCCCACTCACTTATCTTATAATAAATATTTAAGATGAGTCAGTCTCCTGCCTTTAATTCAGCCTGTTGCACTTTTAAAAATCATTATTTCTTCTGCCTCTCAGAACATAAACTAAGCTCCGGTCTTTGCATTCATCCCACTTGCCTCAGAATAACAAAAGTTAACAGTACAAAAGGGAAAAGCAGCCCATGGGCCCAGACGACTACATGGAGCTATAGTGAGAGATGTTTACTGGCCACCTATTCTTATGCTTAAGCAAATCCAGTTCCTTTAGGAGAAATGTTTGCTCAGCTTTTGGGTGAATAATTAGTTTCCTTTAACATTAGAAAAGCCTCTGAGCCCCTCTGACCTGCTACATATTTTAGATTTTACTGCTTCTATATATTTTTAGACTGAAACGTATGATTTTAAAACAACTGAACAGATTTTAAGCTCAAATTGAGCAGAATCAAGAGCTTCAACACTATTTATAAGAAAAGAAACGACAACAAACAGCTGAATTAATTGAATAAAATGAGGATTTCTGCATTAATTTGCTTTGATTTTTAGGAAATATTGGAAGATTTTTGGGGCTAAACTTGAAAGAAGAAAACACGTTACACTAAAATACAAAATATGTGAGAATTTTATTAATAATTTTGTTCACAAATAGAAACAATTCAAACAGGTGGAAGAAACTTTCTTTAAAGACAACAAATAACATTATTTTTCCTTCAAACATTCAGGCTATAATAATAATAATAATTCCTCTTCTATCAGCGCCTAATGCAGACTACTGTACAACATCTGCCGTCAGCAACAGGTTGTTTCAACAAATATTGTGTTTAAACGGCTTCAGAAACATACAAATACATTATCCCGGCGGATAATTCAAAATACAGGCCACATGCCCCGTGTAGAGAAAATATATGCATTACAAAAATAACTCGCCAAAAATAAAATGTGCAAAATAAGTTTTGTTCTAAAAATCTAAATGTTTAAGTTGCTCGAAAATTTGCTGAACATTCAGAAAACATTTGATGAGATTCTAAATGAGTTTGTGCATGAATTGAAAAAGACGATGGCTTCATTTGAAAGAGTTAAAGGGAACTGAGTCGCTCCAAAAGTCTCTCCAGGCGAATCTGGAGGCCGCCGCGGTGGGAAAGTGCTGGTACCTGGGAGGAAGAGCGAGCGGGGAGGGGTGCTGCAGAGCCGGGTAGGCCAGGGGGAAGGAATGAGGTAAACACCCGGGTTTCTCCGTGTCCAGTAAGCAGGTGTGGAAAGGTTTCCCGTCCCGCACCAGGATCGGGACAACGAGCCTGCGCAGCAGCGGAGGATGCTGCGCCATCTCTGCGTCCTGGAGGAGCTCCGCGCGGCCTCTCTTCATCTTGTAGCGGTGGTTCTGGAACCAGATCTTCACCTGGGTCGGGGTCAGGCTGAGGAGCCGGGCCAGCTGCTCCCTCTCCGGGCCGGACAGGTAGCGCTGCTGGCGGAAGCGTCTCTCCAGCTCCAGGGTCTGGGCCTTGGAGAACAGAACCCGGCGTTTCTTGCTCTTCTTGCTCTTGTCGGGCTCCGAGTCCAGGGACGAGTCGTCCGGCTTGGTGGAGTCCGGGGAGGCCTCGAGGCTGCCTTCATCTGAGGCTGCAGAGATAAACACTGGTTAGTCCACATATAGGAATAACGTGATAATATACATAGAGCTGAAATTACGCATTTCATTTTCTGTCTATATCATCATCTATCTATCCATCCATCAATTTATCTGTCCAACTAAACATATACAGGTTAGTCCACATTTCTATAGATAGAAATAATTGGATAATGCATAACATATACACACTGAACTCTATCTATCGACAACCATACATCCATTTATCATCCTCTATCCATTCATCAATCTATATATCTCTGTCCTATAGCATCCATCTTTCTATCCATCTATCTATCTATACATCTCTCATCTTTCTATCCATAAATCTCTCATCTATCTATCTATACATTTATCTATCTATCTATCTATCTCTATCCATCCATCCAAAATATTTTCTGAAGAACAATCTTCTAAAATCCACTCTCCTAATAAATTATTATTATAAATGTCATAATGTCACATAAAGCGTATTATAAAATAAGATACTGGATATGGTGGATTAATCAAACCCAGCTTCAAATGTGCACTTACACATGCAGGGGCTCCGGTCGCAGTCCATCCAGGAGGAGTAGGGCGAGCTGGAGGAGCAGGAGGAGTAGCCGGGAACTGTATCCTGCTCGGGCAGATCCAGGATGCTCCTCACGGAAAAACTGAACTTGGTCGGTGCAGCCATATCGCGTCCTCGCGGCCCAGGGGGTGTCAGTTCGTTTTTTTTTTTGTAGAAATAAACAAGCACTCACAGTAAGCCTGTCCAGGGAGGATGCTCGCTCTCCTCTCTACTTTACGCACTGTCCAAACACCAGTGTTTGTGTGTTTGTGTGTTTGTGTGTGTGTGTGCGCACTGGGCTCAGTGTTTACACAAACAGCTCTTCATAAGCTGCAAACACAAGGCTGCGCGCTTTTAAAGCCTCCTCCTCTGCTGGGTACCTGAAAGGCTGGAGTGCTGTCACCCAATGACGGTAGGTGTGGAGGCTGCGAGTGAGAAAAAAACCCCTCTCAACAATGAGCGAAGGAAACACTCGTCATCATTACAGATTCGCCTCGTATCGTCAAACTGGGGAAACAGATAATGGTGATTGTTGGAGCTGAATCACGTCTTGGGTGGCAACTGACAACAGAGGCCGTCCCATCATCACCCCTCTCCCCCCAACCCATCCTCCTCTCCTCCCTCACTGCCTCCCTCCTCTCATCCAGAACAACGTGTCCAGCATTTGCATACAAAGTGAGCAATTAGCCTGAGAGTTGGTTTAACTAATACGTCCATTAGAGGCGTATTAATTACAGGCGTGAGAAATCTCCACCTTTATGGATGCTGATGGATTCTCCAGCATGTGGCCTCTGGTTTTTTGATTTTCAACAGGAAAAATTCTCAATTTTCTCAACTTTTTTCTGGAAGATTTAAGATTTTATTTCTCTCAGGATCTTTTTAAATGTTAAAGTTGATAGTTTTAGTGCAATAATGAACAATAATAAAACAATTAAATGTCCTGACACCTGCAACTATACTTTATAGCAGTGTTTGAAATATTTACTGTTAAACACCAGCTAACATGTGGCATGAAGGTGTATTTCTGTCATTGAATGACACAGAGTTATTGTCCTGTTATAGGATTTCTTGTCATTATATCTGATAAGAATTGAATTAAAGTCAGTTTCCTCTTTCTTTTTCTTTTTGCATGTTTAGAGTTTCAATGTCCTCAATAATGTTTTGTGTAGAATTTGACACTGAGGCTTTTTGCTGATGATTGAAAACATTCACTCATGTTTACAACTACACCTGATGATGTTTTATCAAAGTTTAATAAATGGTCAAAAATAGGACAAAATAAATGGTTTAAAGTAAAATATTGCAAAAGTAAATTAACTGTACAATAAAGACTTTTTATGTCCAACTTGAAGTTTCGAACAAGTTTCTGACAAATTGAAGCAATGACTGATCTTTGCTGACAGGATTTTATTCATTGATAATCAAGATGAATTGTCTATAATTAATCTTACTTTACGCACAGAACCTAAAGGAAGCGCTGTGGCTCAGAAATGCGCGACTCTCTGCGTATTTTAACGTAATTTGATAGTGAAACAAATGGATTCCTTCATGGAGAAAACAGCTGATCTCCCTCCACTCAAACTGACGCCCACAGGCTGATATCTTGGCTCCTTTATTTGTCCATCCAGACATATAAGACGCATTAAATGCAAAGCGTGAATCCAGCTTTATGTGGGGGCTGCTGCTGTTTTTAACTCGTATTTGATATTGATATTAGGCCCTTATCCACTTCAGCGCGGTGCATGAGGCCGGGAACGGAGAGTGGTGGTGGAACATGCCTCCCCAGTCGTCCTGGGTGGTCGGACGAGAGGGAACACAAATACATGCCAACCAGAGGAGGGGAACAAAAGGGGAAAATGTAGCCCCGCGTCCGAGACCCGTTGGAAGCATTTGTTCCAGTCAAGATTTTGCATTTGTTCAGTCCCGCAATAATGCCTGATTGACGCCCAGGCACAATGTCCTTTAACTTTGCAGGATAAATCCGAGCTTGTTCCGTGTTGTCATGGTTTTGAATGGAGCTGAATGGGATCTGGGACACTATCTACTGCTCTGCGTCTCCTGCCGCCAAGTCCATAGTCCGGGGCAATATTACACGTGTGATTAAGGACGTATTAAATTCCTTTTAAATTCCTCTTTAGATTTTCAGAGCTCAGCAAAAGTCAGTGACCCTGAATTATCCTAAATGAGCCTTTAACGCTTGTTTTTTTTTTCCCCATTTCAAAACTTTTACGCACATTACGCACACGTTCCCTCTGAAAACAAACAAAACCCAGCAACTTTTATGATGATATGTGTTATCACCAAAACCTGAATGAACCATACCCTCATTCAGGCTCCATTTCTGTGTACACACCGGCCTCCAGTGGTGGACAAACACCAGCGGATTACAGTAGCGCAGGTTTGCTGAGTGGATAGTTTACAGAGGGCACTCGATTGGAGAGCAAAAACACGCACAAGCAAAGAGAAGTCATGTCCAAAGAGCGGGAATTTTCTCTGTCCACAATGACCCAGCAGCCCCTTAATCTATTTAACACCCATAGGCTTCAGCCAGAGAGGGTCCTCTGCAGCCCCAAGAGCTCTCCACTGCCAAATATTTACTCTGTTGTTCAGCTCTCCATCTCCAATCCCTCCTCAGCCAAACCCTGATTTCTCTCACACGGTTCTGGAATCAGCAGTTTACACAGACAGTTTTAGCATTTTGAACCAGAGCAACAAGGGAAGTCTGAATAAAACTTTGCAGACATGAGTTCAAAACAACTGAAACACAGAGTGTGATTCACTCAGATGTTAAAATTTCAGGTTTTAAATTCTTTCTCAACTCAGAAATGTGTTTTGGTTATTGTTTGACCCGATGATGGGAAACCGATTTCACTTTCATCTGCTGAAGAGACAGTTTTCTTTCTTTCATTGTGCATATGAGTAACATTTTTGACATTTGGAAGCCGACTCTCTTCCAGTAAATGCTATTTCAACAAAAGTGAAATGGAAAACCAAAACCTCCATTTTTCATGTTTGAGATGAAAATATTCTGCTCATTCAAATGTTCTTAATTCTTCACTGAGCATGAATAGAGTAGATGATTTGGAGTATTTTTGATGTGTCTAACAGCTCTAATAGGATTCTTTACAAGAGACATGAATGCACGATGAGGCCCCTCCCTACATTTCTGTATTGTTGTGAACATTTTCAAACACTTTCAAAGTTCACACTTTGTTTATGAGTTTCCATCAAACATTTCAAGTCTCAAGCCAAACTTGAGTTAAACGATGAAGTCGGCTGAGTAACAGGAAACTTTTGGTGACGAATGCGCGACTGTAAAATTGGTGGCGTGTCCCTTTAGCTGTTGATATCAGTGTTAGTACATCCACCATGTTACCACTGTACCATCTGCTGACATCATCACGTGCCCTCCAGCTCTGAACTGGACACGTCGGCTCACACTGCGACTCTACATCAAAACCAGAGCATAGATAAACCCTGAGATGTTTATCTGACTCCAGTCTGATTGTTCGTCACCTTTACAGCCACAATGAGGCCTCTGTTACTCCACAGCACAGCGTGATGGCTTTAGTGTAGCATCACGCTCCAGCAGCTGCACCTGCCGCCGTCCTCTCTCCTCTCTCCTCTCCCCCTGTCCTGTAAATACCATTAGCATTTTGGAGAGGGGCTGCAGGGGATAATTACTTGGCCGCCACATCACTCTCTGTAGTGAACTGAGGTCTTGTGAGGCAGCTTGACCAAGCAGCAGCTGTGTGTGTGTGTGTGTGTGTGTGTGTGTGTGTGT